CTCGTCCCTGCTCCTCCCTCATGCTTCCTTCAGATCACAGCAAGTCAACAACTTACCCCCTGATGTTTTTTCAGCCCTGCTTTTGTGATAACCCAACTAAGACCACATATGCCAAGGGAAATCATCATTAAGGGGAAAAATATTTTACAATAGCCATTCAGCTTCCTTCTTTTCAGCAAAATGTTTTCCTGACATGGCAGATAATGCTTGCTCTGTGGGCCTCTGAAAATTTCCAGGACAAATAATGACATTTCTAATAAATGGTCAAGAGAAAAACACACCCAAAGGAAGTCTTCAAATCAACACATTCCCAATAACAACAAATAGTCTCTTGACCTCCTTTAGATGGGGATACTTGTAACACGTTTAAATGCTATGAATAATAAATTAGAAAACCACTGTGTTCCTCGAAATGCCACAAATTGAAGTGCCCTACAAATATAAAGTGAATGTATGTATTCAAGCTACCTGTCATGACTAAAATGTTCTACAAAAATTTACCATTATCTTTTTCAGAGAAAGTTCTTTGGGGATGCATCCCCAACTCTGAAAGACACCTCATTAAATTGTTTACATTATGATTGGGTAAAAATTTTTATATTCTTTCAAAAAATTCTTTATAAAACAGTTTGGAGACCACAACCGGAAGTGCTCAGGGGTTACTTCTAGCTCTGCACTCAGGAATTACTCCTGGTGGGCTTGGGAACCATATGGGATACTGGGGACCAAGCTGGTGTTGGCCAAATGCAAGGCAAAAACCATACCCTACCCACTGTACTCTGGCCCTCAACATTTTTATGTTCTAGGGGCTGGAGCAATAGTACAGTGGGTAGGGCATTGTCCTTACACACAGCCTACCTAGGTTCGATTCCCAACATCCCATATGGTCCCCTGAGCACCACCAGGAGTAATTCTTGAGTGCATGTCCAGGAGTAATCCCTGTGCATCGCTGGGTGTGACCCAAAAGCAAAAAAAATATATTCTAAAACTGTTAAACAGTCATAACTTTCTTCTCACTAAGACTCCTTTTCAAATGACTCATAGTGATATGATTCCCAAGGATTAGTCCTACCTGAAATTTGGGGACTTCCACATCCTGAGGTAAACTGAGCCATAACTGGGGACCTCTCTTTATGATGCAGGTGACAGGGAAGAGTGGTGGGAGAGCAGAGAAGATGCCTTTCTTTTCTTTTCATGTCTTTGCTAAGTCGAGAGGATAGATTTAGGTGAAATTTAATTTCCCTTACATGCTTGGTGAAATGCCAAAACAATCTCCACAAAGCGTAAACATTCCATCACAACTTCCCATATCTTTGTACTCAGAGGCAAAACCATGTCTTCAATGTGTGAGTGAGGCTATAATCTAGGCATCCCACATGCTTAGCAGCAGTAATTTTTTTTCAAACTGGCAGTGGTTGATGGACCAACAATTGAAAATCACTGTTCTAGAATACCCTCAAATTATAGATGAAAAATTAAAATAAAAGGAAACATGAAGACATGAAACAAAAGAATCTAAAAGATCTGAATCTTAACCTGATCATTACCTCTCTGATGGCAATGATCTATCTATCTATTCCTTGCTATGCAAATGTAATAACTGTAGCAATATATGCCTGTCAGAAGGTCTGGGTGTCTTATGTTTACGCTAGGTACAAAGGGTTAGAGAAAGTTATGAATAACTCAAGAGCATAATTGCTTCTGTATTGCCTGGGCAGATGAATTTTCTGTAGACTACCCAAAGTAGTCTTTCTGTACTTCTTTAGCGTCCCTGTGTCAATTTGGTTCACCTTCCATCTTTGGTTTGTGCTGGACTCCAAATGACTTGTGGGCTTAATATTCTGTTTGAGCAGATGAATTGATTTTATATGGGAAAGGCTAACTGGGAAGGGTCTTTTGGACATTGGTGGAAGGAAGCAGCTTTTCTGGTGAGGGGCGTAATGTTTGAAGATGGGTGTGGTATTCGGAATGATGCATGCATAAAAAGGCCCTCCCGTTGATCGTCGATTTGCTCGAGCGGGCCCAGTAATGTCTCCATTGGAGACTTTGTTGTTACTGTGTCTGGCATATCGAATACTCTCGGTAGCTTGCCGGGCTCTCCGAGAGGAGTGGAGGAATCGAACTCGGGTCAGCCATGTTGGCCGCTTGTAAGGCGAACGCCCTACCCGCTGTGCTATCACTCAGTGCTGTAAATCGCTGTACCTCAATATAAATAGTTCCTAAATACACACACACACACACACACACACTCACACACACACATACACACAAAACAAACAATAAAAGCTTGTGGGTTTTCCCCTCTTAGTATGCATATGTGAGCACACACACACACACACACCAGATTGTATATCATTTCCTATTTCCTCCAGGGATTTACATAGTTTTATGCAGGTCTTCCCAGTTCTCTCCAATCTTCTGCCCACGTCCCCGAGCTCTGTTTTTTGCACCTCCACCGTTGTCCCCATACTTGGAGGTTAGTGCTGATGCCACCTCAACCAGTCACATGTACTAGGAACACTTTTCTTACCAATCATCCACGTACCCCACTAGAATGGAAGCGACAGAGATTTTGCCTTGTTTGCTTCCAATTGTATCCTGACAGTACCTGATGGTGAGCTGGAATCTTTTGGTGAATTCTCCTGAAATTAAAGAAAGTCTTGGGCATAGGTGGTTAATTTGGGAGATGATCGCAGAGAACAGAAGTAAGGCTATGAGAAGGGTAAGTCAGGGAAAGAGGAAGGCAACTAAACATATGTTGTCTTGGTCACTGCTGCCAAGTACCTCTGAGAAGCTTCTCTATCAGTCCACACAATGGACACTTCAGTCTCCTTTGCTCTTGGTTCAGGGCTGTCCTCTAAGGTAAAAGATCCTTGTACTTTTAGGAAGACGATCAGTTGAGACTGGGCTTTGAGGCAGAGCAACCATTTGGTCGTTTGAGGTGCAAATGCTGTCTGATTGCTCTAAACTGTCCAACCCACCACCAGCTGTAGTGTACCAAGACATCTACCTCTGGACGCATTAAGTCAACATTTGCGGTGGTTGGATGAATTTTCCTTAATACAAATATGGCTGTGCCTTTCAGGAAATTGTGGATCATCTTGCTTTAGGACATTGGTCAAAATTATTAAGAAGGAAAAACTCATTGCCAAGAATTTGTTGTTTCAATTTGTTTTTCAGAGGCTCTATAACAAAATCCTGCTCAGAATTTCTTTGTGGCCTCTTGGCCACTTCTCAGTTGCGGGACCAGCTCCCTATTCTCTATGTATTTTTTGTTGTTGACACTCCTTAGAGCTCTGCCCCCACACTCATGCTACCTGCCCCTCAAGAAATCTTGACTCCTACCCATACCAGTGCCCACACCCCAGTGCACACCTCTGGGATCTTGAGGTCAGGGTACAGGTGCTCAGTCTCCCAGAGCGTCCCTGCACACAAAGGGGATCTGCCCCATACTGAACCCCTTATCCATCTACCTGCTTCCCTCATGGTGACTCAGCTAGCCTCCAACCACCCATTCTCATCTCCTAACCTGTCTCATCACTTCTAGGATTCTGAAATGTAGAGGCGAATAGAGGCTGCCCCTCACCAGCTGTACTATCCCTCCAACATAAGATTTTTTTCTTCTTCTCCCCAGATATGTCTTGGCTATGGCCACCCACAAAAATAGTTTTCCCACCTGAACTATGCAAACCTGAACGGCCAGTGGAAAGCCACAAAAAGCCTTGTTCTGTTCCCAGAACGTTGCCTCTCGGTTATAGAAATATGACAGCATCCTGGGTTTAGAAAAGGGCAGGACAGTCAGAGACTCTCCCCTCCCTAACTCTCTCACCTTCTCCCGAGAGCGACCCTAAAGACCCATTATCCCAGGGGCCTCATCACCCCATCACCTTATCTTCTAGTAGAGATTCCAAGTCTCTCATCATGAAGGAAAGGGATGGGTTTAGATCTGCATTCTCCCCTGGACAGGAGATGGAAGCCAGCCTCAGGGCCCCAGGTGTGGGAGATCTGGGCGCTCCCGCAGTGGGGAGCTCCTGTGGCACTTCTAGGAGGCATGGTCCTGGGTGAAATGGGGTTGGGGGGCACATTGGCAGGGACTTGGCGATCTCCAGCAACAGATTGTGGTCTTCAACCCAATGCATAGGGGGAGACCTTCCCCTGTCCTCAGCACCCCATTATGTGCTAGGGGTTGGGGTTTGCAGTGCGTGTGAGTCAAGGGCAGGGGAAGGTGTGGTGGGCTCCGCAAGGTCTCTTTTGTGCCCTTTGGTAGGAGCAGTGACAAGGTCTGAGACACCCGGCTCTGCGGGATCTGACTGAGGGTTCAGGAAGGCAAGGAAGGTGGGAGTGGGGGCGGGGGGCTCTGTCTGCCTGGAACTGAGGGGCTTCTGGGGAGCTCTTAAGGACTCCCTCTGGCGCCCCTGTCGGGCAGGCCGCAGTGCAGCCCGAAAGCTCCTTCCAAAACCTGACACAGCTAACAAACGCGACAGCTAGGGGCTGTCACTGGCCTGGACACCCTTACAGTGTTGTCTGGGGACACATCTAGAACTTGTCCTGCCATGTAAAAGAAAGCAAATACCTCCCCGTCACCTTCCCCAGCGGGAGTCCCTCACTGCAGGAAAGGTCCAGAGCTGTCTGGGGTGCTCAGCCAGAGGGACCCATCCACACCCCAACCCCCAACCGCCATCCCCCCACCACTCCTCAATGCCTGAATTACAATCACTGACGGCCAGCCTGGTCTAGTATCCACATTCCCCCAGCTCCGTGCCCCCCAAAGCAACTAGACAGAGGGATGCAGCTGCCCCATGAGGAAGAGCATCCAGAACGCAAAGTTTCCCGTGCAAAGAAGCAGCTAAACTGGGCAGAGATGGGGGAGGCGCTCTCCCGCACAGGGGTTTGCCCCTCACCCAAGCCCAGTTTTGGACCTTGACCTCGGTTCCGCCTGTGCTCCCTCCCCTTTACCCCCCCCCCTCCCGCAGCATCTTCCCTCGCGGGTCGCCCCCGAGGCCGCGCGTGAGCACGTGCGCGCCCGCCTGCGTCAGCGCGGGGCCAACAGGGGCCGGCGGGGCGCGCCGGGCGGGGCTATTTAAGAGGCAGCCGCGCTCCCGCCTGGAACTCGACTCAGCCGAGAGCTTGAGCCAGCCGCGGTCCGCTCCCCAGGTAAGTTCCCCGCGCTCGCCGAACGCCCATGGGGGTTCTGGGGAGAAGGTGCGTCTTCGGGTGACCGCTAGGACCGCTGCAGGATCTGCCTTAGAGGAGAAGAGTGCGGAGCGCTGCCGTGCCTCTTCCCGCGCGCTTTGTTCTGTCCTGCGCGCACTGGATGACAGTAGGTCAGACCCGGGCTAGACCCGCGTGCAAATGGGGCTTTGATAGCGGGTATACAGCCGTTCCGAGGACTTTGCAGTCTTTTCAAGTCTAGTACCAAAGGTTTTATTTTCTATATATGGAGGAAGAATGTAATAAAGCTTTGGGGTTAGAAATGCCCTGGCGTTTTAACTGCTCTCAAATATAGTGCACAGTGGAATGAATATAGCCAATAATCTTGTACCATAATTATGTAATGTGATATGTATGGCTACATCACCCTGCATACTACAAGATATAAATATATCAAAGTTGTACACCTTAAACTTACACACAAGCTGCTGCTGCTTCTCTTCTTCTTCTTCTTCTTCTTCTTCTTCTTCTTCTTCTTCTTCTTCTTCTTCTTCTTCTTCTTCTCCTCCTCCTCCTCCTCCTCCTCCTCTCTCTTCTTTTCTTCCTTCTTCCTTTGTCAACCACTGACATCTATGCACCCATTTGATTGTTCTAAAAACCATGTCTGTGTTTTGCATCATGGTTTATTACCCATTCCCATTTTTCAAGAAATTTAGTACACTCACACTTTAAGCTTTTATTTACCGCTCTCACACTTTAAGCTTTTATTTACTGCTCTCACATTTTATGCCATGCTTTCTTTGCTTTGCCATTTTCCCCTTATTGAAAGCTTATCTGAGTGGGAAAATGCTTTTTTCTCAAAGGTTTTTCTTTCTCCCACGGAGTCTTCTTTTTAGAATATGTTTCGTGCTATGTTTACTCTCTTGCTTTTCCAGTTAGGAGAGAGACACTATGCACACATTTCCTCAGACTAAAGGAAAGCAGGAAATACCACTTCTATTAAACAGGCAGAAGACTGGGTGTCCTGCCCCAGGACCTGGGTACGGTGCACCCTGAAGACAAAAAGGGGCGCGCGGGGCGGCACAGGCGCTGGCTGCTCGCTGCTCGCTGCTCGCTTGGAGCCTGCTGCAAGCCCGGCGGGTCTGGAGCGCGTGCGGTGCTGAACCTCCTTGGAACCCGCTGCTGCCACCCTCCGCGAGCGTCCGCGGGCACCTCACTTAACCCGCACGCTCCCTTTTGCTCTCCGCAGTCATGAACAGCTGCGTGTGCCTGTGCGTGCTGATGGCCATCCTGGCGGCGGGGGTCCTGGCGCAGCCGGTGCCCGCGGAGGACCCGATGGATCTCGGAGCGCTGCAGCCCGAGGAGACGGCGCCCCGCAGGGAGCAGAGAGCGGTACAGAGGGTGGATGGCGATCCCCGGGCGCACCTGGGCGCTCTGCTGGCCAGATACGTGCAGCATGTCCGGAAAGGTACCCGATTCAACATCTTCAACCATCCCCGTCTCCCAGTCTGTCCCTTCCTCCCCGCTGCTCCAGCGGCCTGGCGGCGGAAGGTGGTGGGCAGTAAACCCTCTCTCAAGGACATGCTGGAGGCGCAATAACCTAAAAGCGGGTTGGTTAGGTTATCTTTCCACCTTTCATTAGTTTTGCGGCACGGGAGAGTTTTCTGACTTTCTCTGGGAGTGAGTGTGGAGGATCTAGTCTAACCATGAAAGAAAGGTTCTTTGTTTAAAACTTTCCTTGAAGCTAAGTTTTGACAAGGCGATACTGTTGAATTTCAAAACCATCAGATGAAGTCATTGAAAGATTGGTACAGGGGCTAGAGAGAGCACAAGAACTTAGGGTGAAAGCCTCACGTAGCAGGAGTGATCTCTGAGCAGGTAACCAGGAGCAAGCCCTGAGCACCACAGGGTGTGACCAACCCCATTCTCCCTGTCCCCCCACCCCTATACGCATTACTCTTAAAGCCAAGGGACCAAGAGTCACCCAGACACTTCCACTTAGAACCCCTCTTGGCAGGCAGCGATTGATTAATGCTGAGAGATTTTAGAAAGAAATAGTTATGTGAAAAAAATATATTAAAAAAAATGAAATAGTTATGTGTTGGGTTTTACCAAAGAATTGAAGAGGGAAGGGGTGACCAATAGTAGTTTTGAGTATTCCTTGGTTTGATTTCAAACAATAAGCCATTTGAAGAGGCTAGTTCCAGCAGCCGCAGAAGCAGAACAAGTCGATTTCCTCAGCGTCTTAAGTCTTTCTCCAGGAACAGGTGTTTCCGCACCTCTCGAGCTGCGTGATAAACAGTCTTTCCTAATTCATCTTTCATGATGAAGGATGAGGGCTGGGTAGATAACTCAAGAGGTAGGCATATGCCCTGCATGTACAAGGCCCCGAGTTCAATTCCCAGCATTGCCAGGTGTGGTCCTATTGTCCCTGAGCATCACTAATTAATGGCTCCCAGCACCCCCAGGCTGGATGCTGTGTATGACTGCTGCTCCCCACGTTTCACTGGCCTGGAACCTGGCAACTCACATCCTGAGCTCTGTCAGGAATGGGCCCTGTTAAAAAAGAGGGGTGTAGATCAGGGTAGACAACTCTGAAAGCTTTGCTTGATTCACAGGGAGGCTGACCCACCTCTAGGTTACCCAGGAATCAGGAATCGACCTTCTCCCATTATTACTCACAGTGATACTCAGGTAGTACAAAAGCCTTAGGGCAATGCTGAACTGTGCTGAACACAGCCAACTGACGGAGAGATGAGAGAGGGGCTACGTGCTCCTGAGCCTCTCACCCCCTACTCATGAGCTCTACCAGCTCCTGAACACTGACTTTCTGTCTATATCATATAGAAATTTAAGGCAGGGAGCTCTATAAGCAGGAATTTTTTTGCAGCAAAAAAAGCCGAAAGATTGGTTTATTCTGGTCTGTCTGTCTTTTCTCTCTCTCTCTCTCTCTCTCTCTCTCCCTATCTGAAAAAAGTTGTCATAATGACCAGCTTCTGTTTTACTTTCCTGCTAATTAAATAGGAAGAGGTGGGAATACTGGTCAAAGGACATGGAAAGTCTGGAATTATGTTTGGGTTCCTGCTGATGAAATCTATTGTCTTGGAAATATCTGTCCTTGTGTGAAGATTGAGTTTCAGCCAGACCACTCTGAAATATCTAAGCTTATCATGGACCTAGAACCCGGATCTTCAAGAAAGATAGCTTAGAAAGAGTTCTGAGAATGAAACTTTCTACCAAATGACTTTCCCAGAATACATGCACTTTACTTTATACCACAAATTATAGCCAGAAATTTCTTGCTAGGACCTCATCTCAGTGCCTTCCCCCACCATCTTGCCTTCAGCTTTTTAGGTGCTTACCTGCCCATGTAGACAGAGCAGTCTTTGGACCTTAGATGACCAGCCCCTGGGTTGGTGCTTGTTAGGAAACCATCTTCCTTCTACATGACAGACACCCACCAGCAAACACTCACACAGAGGCATGATCCGTGATTGCTTTGAGTATTTTACACATATTGAAAATGTGAACATATTTTAATATAGAACACATATAATATAGACACTATATGCCAGATACATTTACCATCCTCCGTCCCTCTTGGAGAGACCAGCAAGTTAAAGAGAGTATCCTGTCCACACAGCAGAGCCTGGCAAGCTCCCCATGGTGTATTTTATATGCCAAAACCAGTAACAAGTCTCACAATGGAGATGTTACTGGTGCCTGCTCGAGCAAATCGATGAACACCAGGAGGACAGTGACAGTGATATTTACAATGTTAATATTATTTATATATTTTACATATCTAAATATCTTATATACTTAACTCTGGTATATGTTATGCTTAAATGTTCTAAACAAAATAATGCACTCTTTGGGCAGGACCTAAGAGTGGGCCATTAAGAATTGTCTGCCCAACTTTCAGTGATCTGAGAAGAAGCTTTTTTGCTAGATGCAGAGGTGAAGCTGCATCTAGCCGTGGCCCCATCAGAACCCCAGCTCCACCTTTGCACCATCTTTTGGGGCCTGCACAGTAAGTTTCTAGGATGCTCAGTGTCAGTGTGCAACTCAGAAGAGTGAGCCACCAAAATAATGAGCTCACCAAAAGTGAGCCACCACAGTAGCACCACCATCACTGAGCATCTGTTTTTAACGTCCTGCCTCCCTAGAGGGGCTGAGAGCCTTTCCACTTCTCAGCTTGAGTTTCACATTTAAAGGAGTGGACTCAGGCCCTTCCATTCAATCAATCCATCATCAGTCAGTGAGGAAGTGAGCCAGGCCCCTGCTCAATGTGCCCCCTGGGAGAAGAGCTGGGTGTGATTGGAGAAGCAGCTTCCTGGGTTCACCAGGGCACACTGTCACCCCACCCACTGCAGACCCAGCTGTTGGCTCATAGCAAAGATGTCCCTTTGCGGGCCGGAATAATAGTACAGCGGGTAGGGTGTTTGCCTTGCACACGGCCAACCCAAGTTCGATCCCCAGCATCCCATATGACACCCCCCCCCCCCCAAGCAACACCAGGAGTAATTCCTGAGTGTAGAGCCAGGAGTAATCCCTGACAATTGCCGGGTATGACCCAAAAAGCCAAAAAAAAAAATGCCCCTTTGCTCCATCAGTGGCAGTTTGCACTTGGCCTTCAGTAGCAGCAGACAGGAAGGTCTCCTCAGAGTGTGATTATGCGGAGAACTCGGTTTGCATGTTTTGCTGAAGGCAAGGACTAGCGTTTCCCCTGAACCATACTGAACAGCTGAGTAGCAGGCACAGTTTCCCATCTGCACAGGTTGGTGATCTCTGCTGGCATGTGCCCCCTTGACTCATTTCCAAGGCTAGCAAGGGAATGCCAAGGGTGTGGGAGAGGGCGAAAGCAAGGCTGTGACTGTCATTTCTCTTGTGTCATTTCACTGGTTTCATCTGATCATGCTATAAGGCAGAGCAAGTGCTTCTGGGGTGCCACTGGTCAGCAAATAAGCTGTAGCCTAATTGGCTTTCCTATGGGCAGCACCCGTCAAGCCAGGGCAGCCTCCTGCAGAAAGGCTAAATGTTCACCAGGAGAGGGATGGACCGTGGCCGCCATACAATGGCACTTGTGAGTGGTGCTCCCCTCCTCTTGCCCATCGAGGTCCTTGAGGGACATTTCCTGATTCTTTGTTTGCAAAGAGGTTACAGTGATTTCATTTCCCAGAAGCCCTGTGTATGACCTGTGAGGCTAGGTCCATGTCACAGGCCTCTTTAGAAACTGCCTCACTTAAGGTGAGCTACACACACAAACTGGTAATCCTAGGGAATGACCATATCCCAGAGGGCCCATTTAAGCTTAGGTTATTACCGTTTGGCTAAAGTGACTGCATTTGGACCAAGACTATGACTCAAAGGGCCAGAACACATATTTTGCATGCAGAAGGGCCCAAGTGTGAACCCTGACACAACAGGGTCCCCCCATGCACCTCTATTGCACCCCCCTAAGCATTCCTGAGCATTATATATAGCTCCTGAGCACTGCTAGGTGTGTCCTCCAAACAAGGGACCAAAAAATTAAAAATCAATAACTGATTTTAAATCCTTTCTTTATTGCCTCTACATGCTCACTTTGTTGAGCGTTGTTAACCTTTTAATTTGATGATGCGCCTTTCCCTGATACAGTTTTCTAAAAATAATCATTTTCAAAGTAATCATTTTAAAACAATAGCTAGTAAGGTATCTAGTAAAGTTGATTTCGGTGCTTTTTAACCTTGACCGCATTGAGATATTGTTGTTTTTATACCTTACCAAGAGTCAAAGATGCTCAGGAATGCTCAGGAGTGAGATTTAGAATGGGTGAAATCGGGGATGTTCTTGACTGGCTTCTGCTGGGGCTCAGCTTCATAAAGAGAAAGATTTCATTTAAAAAATTTTTTAATTGAATCACTGTGAGATAATCCATTACAAAACTGTTCATAATTGGGTTTCAGTCATACAGTGTTCCAATACCCATCCCTCCACCAGTGTACATTTCCCAGGACAAATGTCCCCAGATTCCCTCCCATCAACCCTCAACTCCCGCCTGCTTCTATGGCATGCACTATCTCTCTCTCTCTCTCTCTTTCTCTCTGTCTCTGTCTGTGTCCTTCTGTGTCTCTGTCTCTCTGTTTCTCTCTTTCTCCCTCTCCCTTTCCCTTTCTCTCCCTCTCTCTTTCTCCCTCTCCATCTCTCTCTCTCTTTCTCTCTCTCTCTCTCTCTCTCTCTCTCTCTCACTCTCCCCTCCCTCTCCTTTTGGGCATTGTAGTTTACAATACAGATACTGAAAGGTTATCATGTATATTCCTTGACCTACTTTCAATACTCATTTCTTATTCAGCATGATCATTTCCAACTATTATTGTCATACTGGTCCCTTCTCTGTCTTACCTACCCTCCACCCACACACACACTTGTGAGAGATTCCAACCACTGACCATCAGTCCTCCTGACCCCTGTTTTCCTTGGCCTTGAAGAGGAATATTTCTTGGAGTGGGAAAACCTGGGCAGGAGGGGAAAGGGGAAAGCCAGAGGGTCTAAATCCTTACTTGACTGGGGCCTGAGGAGAGTGTACCAGCCTGGCAGGTGAGAGGTCCTAGTCTGATCCCTGGCATTGCCCCACATGCTCCATCCTGACCCCTGGTTCCGTGAAGGTGTATGTGTGTGTTCTGTGCATCTACCTCAGCCAAGTGAGCACCACAGCTCCTGTGATGAGCCCCAGCCAGGACCCCAGCCCAGTAAATGTTACTCCCTGGGCGTCTCGGACACAGAGGTGGGGGGAAGGGTGAGAGAGTCACTGACCACAGGCATATCCGAGGGTAAATGTCGCCTTCTCCCCAGTTACAGCTGTGGCCTCTCCCTGTCTCTGGCAGTTCCACTCTGACTTGCTCTCCAATAGCTTCCGGGAAATGCATGATACCTTTTGCCTGGATTTTCCCAGTGCTCTGCTCAAGCTGAACAAAGACTGTTCTTGGATTTAACGCCCCTGTTTCCTTCCTCCCTGCCCCTGTGCAGCACCTTCTGGCCGAATGCCCCCCGCCATTAAGAACCTGCAGAACCTGCACCCCAGCCACAGGATAAGCGACCGGGACTACATGGGCTGGATGGACTTTGGCCGCCGCAGCGCCGAGGAGTATGAATAACCCTCTTAGGGGGAGTATGAATAACCCTCTTAGGGGCCCCCTAACATGGTTAGCACCCCCCAGGAAGCCACTTCCTAACACCAAGACAGAGTCAGAAAATAATCACCCTCATCACTCATTTTCTGGGAAGTTTGATGTCTTAAGTATCTATTTATTAAGTTCTCAATGTGAAAAAAAAAGCTCCATGCTCTGCCACAGAATTGTACCAAGAAAAGCGCTTCCCGCATCTGTGACTTCCCGTCCCGTGCTGTTGTCATGCTATTAAAGTGATTTCCTTCTGCCTCTTTGTTCCTCATGTCTGTCTACTCCATGGAGCCCTCAGAGCTGAGTCTTCTGTTCATTTCCTTGCTGGCCAATGAGGCCTGATGTTGGGTGTGTGTCCCCGGGAGTCCCTGCCACAGACTGTGACCAGAAAGGCTTAAGAAACGGTGATAGACTCACCGCCGAGCTGATTCTTTGCGGCTGCAGTGGAGGCAGTTTGTGCGTGGCTTCTCCACGCAGTTCCTGGCTCCAGCCCTGAATCCAGGCCCCTGCCAGGTCCTTTGGGGAAAGAAAATTGTGTGTGAAAAAATGAGGGCTCCTCCCTCTGAGTGAGACCCAGGCTAGGCAGCTTGGGGTCGAACCCTGCCAAGCCCTCAACCCCACCCTGCACCATGTTTTTCATCATCCTTGAACCCATGATGAGACAGTCCCGGGCACTGGGTCCTCCTGATCCCCCCTTGCCCTTGATCTTTCTGCAACTTGATCTCTTCACTCCCTGCCCTGTGGGATGGAGGCTCCTGGTCTCTTTGGCAGAGCAGGAAACAGGCTCTACCAGGTGCTGAGACTCCCAGACCTGAGGGCTCCTGTGAGTGGCGTCCCTCACCCCAGACTTTAATCCTCAGAATGCCTGTGAATCAGAGCGGGAGCCGTTCAACTGCACCTTCCACAGGGAGTCTGGCCTGCAACCCGGCAAGCTCCCCGGTGATAGTGATAGTATCACTAGTACAGCTGGTCCCAGTCCGCTCTCAGGGTTTCAAGAGAAAAGCCTATGATGACGACCCCTGGTCTCCATATTTCAGAGACAATGGCCTGTTAGGGCGACTTTTCTTGCATGAGATAGATACCTTTTGCCTGGATTTTCCCAGGGCTCTGCCCCTAAGAGAGATAATGGGTCTGTGCCTCTGTTGGGTCCCAGTGGGGAGCAGTAAGAGGACCCCCAAAGGTGATCTGCCACCAGCCCCAGGTTAGCCTTCCTCTGGCTCCCTGCTGGGGTGCCCCAAAACTCAGGTCCTCGACCCAGCCCGAGGCAGAAAGACACACAGTCCCAAAGAGCACAGATGGAAAGCGGTGTTGGTAGGACTGTGCATGGTATTGGGGCCCCTGGGCACTTGGTTCACTCTTCTGCAGGGGGACACAGGGGGCACCGTTAGTGAAGCTGCCTGGGAGATGGGGCAAGACTGTGCTGGAAGCAGAACTGCAGTCTGTATTCAGGCTGTAACTCAACCCCCAGCCACCGCACTATCTTGTCTCTCCTGAGGCCATCGCCTCAGTCAGTCCCTTCAGTTGGGTCTCCGACTGCATCATGTCTTAGGTGTCTCATGCAATTCAGCTGAGACTGTCCAGGCACTGGTCTGTGGGTCTCTGTGACGATGGTGAATGGTTTTAGTGTGTGCATGCATACACACGGATAATACAAAGCAACATATTAAGATATATACACACATCACACCAAAATACACACCATCACACAAAGCAAAACCCACTGTTTTTCTGAGTGTGTCAGAGATCATGGGTGCATGCAAAAAAAAAAATTAGAGTGTGCCTGGGGTGTGCCTCAAATAAAAGTGCCTCCTTCCCTCCTTATATCCTCCCCTCCCCCATCCCTTTACCATATTGCTACTCCTTCACATCCAGTGTGTGTGTGTGTGTGTGTGTGTGTGTGTGTATGTGTGTGTGTGTGTGTGGTTTGTGTTGGAGATGAGGGTTGATGAGGGACCTGGAATTGAAGGCAAAACCCTCAGTGAGGAAAGGCTCATCTGAATGAGTGATTTGTAAATCTTCAGAGATATGGGTGTCAACATAAAGCCGTGACCCAGAAAAAGTGAACATGTGCCAATGATGCCATTAAGCTCGCTGGTTAATAAAGGGGCCCAGGAGACATCACTATATTTTCAACACAGAGTCTGAAAGACAGGCACATCCAGGAGATCAAGAGAACTGACTTGAATTTGCTATTGAATGCAAAACTAGTTACTCTCTCCAGGGCAAGAGGATGTAGTGTTTGGAATCGCATTATTCTTAGGCAGAAATCAGGTATAGCTTTAGGGGCCAGAAGCACTTCTGTTTCTGTAGACGAGAGTTTTTTTTTAATTTTTGCATTCCTCTGTTTCTACAGCTCCCATACTCTCTAAGTTGCTCAGGAAGAGAGCCAGACAGCAAAACCATCAGCCCAGTGTTCCAGGAAAAGACCCCAGCCTGCCCTTGGTCCACTTCAAAATTGGCTGAGACTCTTCCCGACGGAGGGGGGACTTTTTCCCAACCCCCTCAGGCAGAGATGCCCATGGAGCCTCAGTATCAAGCCTAGGACCATAAAGTCTGAGCAGTCACTGAGAAAGCACCCCACTTGTCACAGAGAAAGCTGGGGTTGGAGAGGTGAAGGGTCTGGTGGGTGCACTCTGACCCTGGCTCTCAGTTCTGGAATTTCTATTCAAGGTCACATAGAGCAACGTCTCCCAGGCAGAGGAAAGGTTTAGAGACTGGTCTGGGCTGTGTCAGCCTGAGAGGACCCCGAATGTATGTGATAATGGTGACTTTGAGGGGACCTAAGGGACCACTCAGAGAGGCAGGGAGCGAGGACTGTGGCTCTAACTGTCCCTGAACCCCTGCACAGAGCCAGTCCCCTTCCATCTGCAGGCCCCCTCCCAGCCTCTGCTTGTGACCGGCCTGCTCTTGTGCCTGGTCTTGTAATTTTCTGAGTCTCCGCGTCCCCCTGAACTTTTGGCCCCTGTCCCTGTGCCTAGCACACAAGAGTCTCACTAGGCAAGAGGCTGAGCCAGGGAAGAGGCTGCTATCAGGCCATACACATTGATGCATGTGAGTCCTGGAATCCTTTCCAGGATGAAAGTCAGAGAAAGATCCAAAGACACGGGAGTCATTCTGTCTGCAGGAAAGGCTTGGATGACAGCCTATTCCGCCTGCTTCTGTTCGCCCAGATTAGCATGGATGTCACGGAAAGCAAAAAAAAAAAAAAAAAAAAAAAAAGGAGAAAAGTCATTAGACTTCAAGTTCGATTTGTTTTCCACTTGTCAGCAATTTTGCTTCCCTCTTGAGTCTCACCCCAACCGGAAGGCTCTTAGGAGTCCCAGGAGAGGATACGCAATGAACATAATAATAGAATTTGCCGAAGAGAAGCCTTAATGAGCAGAGCTGAGGACACCCAGCAGAGCCGGCTACAGGGCCAGAAAGTGCCTGAAAGTGAGATTCAAGAGGGCCAGCTGTCCTCACTTAACCATTCACCATCGTCATAGAGACCCACGGGTCAGGCCCAGGTGCCGGCTCCTCTTCCATCCCAGTAGGCTTTGCAGCACAACAGCACAACAGCACAACAGGGCAACAGCACAACAGGGCAAGTCTCACCAGAGTTCACGCACATTCTGAAAGCCAACACCCACCCCCCTTGCCATCCTCTGCCCACTCCTGCTCACCTCTCCTAAGACTCCACTCCATGGCCACTCACTCCTCCTCAATCCCTTTGCCGACTGCCTTCCCCCCCACCCCCACCCCCTGTCTGTTTCCTAATCTAGCTCTCAACACAGCACCTTGGATCCAATGTTAGAGAAGTTTTTGCTTAGAGACTAACATGAGTGGACCTCCCGGGCTTGCAGAAGACGACCATGCCCTCTAGTGGATTGTTTTATTAAAAAAAAACAAAACAACCAAAAAAAAAAAAAAAAACCTCCCAGGCCCCCCCCTCTGGTGAGAAACAGCCCTGTTGGCCTAAAATATGCAGAATTCCAAACCTGCTACTTTGCTTTCCCAGCTGAAACTTCAAATCCAAGTAGCATGGGACATAGAACTGTTTCCTAAGAATGGGTGGTTGATCTTATAATTTAAATTTCGAACCTTTCATTAGGCTGCCAGGAAGCTCCTGGGTTTGGAAACACACCCAGTGAAACGGAAGAGAACAAGATTGAGTGACAAGTGAAATGCCTTCGGCAGAATTAAAACTGAAGTGGGAAATAAATAGATGTATTTTGAAGACAACTGGGTAACTATGGTTACTCCTAATTAGGGAGCACCTTATGCTTTCCAGATTTGAGTGGAGGAAATCTTGAAGGAAGATTCCAAACAGTAAAAACGTTATGGTCCATTGAGTGCATGCAAGCTTGCATGTTGAGCAGAAAGAAAGCAAGTTTGTTTCTTCCTGCCTTCATCACCTTTGATCCCCTGTATCTCTCCTTGCATAACATACACTCATAAGCCAAAACTGGGGTTTTCAGGAAGTGCCCTTCGAGGGGTGACCTTGGGGACCAGGCTACTGCTCACTGCAGAGTGAGAACCAAGCAGGGGTCCTAAGGCAGGGGCGGGAAGGAGGGTGAACATAAAAACCCCCTGCCCTGCTCCATGCTAACCTCCAAGGAAGAGGTAGAACCGGCTGGTCTCTCTTATTATCTGGACTTGAATTGAGCAGGGAAAGGGACCCCCAGGACACTGTTCCAGAGTTAGCCTCTGTGTCCTCTGAGAAGGAGTTACAGTGCCAGAGAGGTAAAGAGTACCTTTCCTGGTCCTTTAACCGCCTTACCTTCTTAGCTGAGATGCTGCCCAAGCCCCCGTTCCTTGCAGAGCTGGTCTCCCCCTGAATCCAGGATAAAACAAGACCTCCAGGGAAGGGGAAGAAGACTCCTCTCTGCAGGGTTTTTTCCATTTCATCGGGGTAAGACTTGTCGGGATGAATGAAAGTCTCAGCCATCATCAACATGATGCGTGTCGACGAATACAGCAGGAGGGACCACTAAGATTCTTTAC